CAAGGTACATGCCCTTGACCGGAATCGAACCTGGGACCTTTCAGTCCGCAGCCCGACGCTCTATCCAATGAGCCAAACCGGTTACGGCAGGAAGGCCTACTCTTGCATGAATTTCATGCATCGGGTCTCTAGTAATATATAACACTTTTTATGTTGTGTCAAATTCTGTCTGCTCTATCTTGCTAAGGATTTTGCCTTAATTTTCACCTTGCTCATTACTTGGTTTTTTTCGTTGTTGATGATGCATTGCAGGCATTCTACATATATTCTGGATATTAACCCCTTATCAGATATGATTTGCAACAATTTCCCCTTCTGTAGATAGTCTTTTCAGTCTGTTCATTGTGTTCTTGGATGCACAAGTTCTAAATGTTGGTGTAACCCAATGTATCGTCATTTTGTTGCCTGTGCTTTTGGAGAAATTGCCAAGTCTAATGACATAAGCTTTATGTCATGTTTTCTTCTAAGAGTTTTTTAGGTTTAGGTCTTTAATCCACGTTGAGTTAATTTTTGTGTGTGGTGTAAGGTATGGCTCCAACTTCATACTTTTGCATGTGGGTATCCGATTTTCCCAACACCATTTGTTGAAAACCATTTGACTGTATATGTTAGGTTTTATTTCTGGGCTCCCTATTCCTTCATTGCTTTTATGGCCGAACACTATTCCATTGTGTGGCTCTACCATTTTTATTTATATTGTATCTCGGTATTTAATCACTGAGCCTTGTAACATCTGAGCCCTTGCCTGGGATCCTCCCTGGGATCATCAGAACATCATGCCCTTTGAAAAGAGTGTCTATTTTGCTTGCTTACAAAGAAAGCTGGCAGTGTATTCCGGGGAAAGGCAAGCTCGGTTGCTGAGCTTTCTCCCTCTGTTACAAACCTCTCAGCAAAACAGAAGTAATTCATTTTGCACTCCCCACTGCTGGTCCGCGCAGTAACACCCTCTGTACCTGGAGAATGTGCCCACCCCAACCCATGTGCCAAGTGTCCGTCTGGCACACAAGCTTCATGTTTGTTTCTGGGGAGGAAGGAGAACACCAGCGCTTCCTGGGTGCTTTTGGCCACACGCATTATCTCATTATCTCGTCTGGTATATTCCTCGCAGCAAGCCCTCCACCTCGGTACTGCTATTCACTGGGGAGGAAACTGAGGCTGGGAGGAGGTAAGTACCTTGGCCAAGGCCACAACGCGGGCACGTGGAGGAGCCCAGGAGTTGGCCAAGCGCACAGCGCAGGGATTCGCGCGTCACTGAGGGTCAGAAGCCCCGGGCCCTGGCGACCACTGGCCTGGGAGCTTCTGGCAGCCCAGGCTCCTGGGCCCACCTGTGCGCGGCCCCCAACGACTGCTTCCTGTCTGGGCGCAGACTGCAGGAAATATCATGGAGACCCAGAGCTCCCTCCAGGTGCAATGCCAGTTCTGAGGCTGGAAAGCTTGAGTGTAGAGAGGAAAAAGTTGGTGCTTTTTTTACTCTCTCGCCGCCTGACGTCGGAAATTCCGCCCCCGTCTCCGTGGAAACCCGGCGTCCGTAGCCGCAGTCACCAGGGGCGGAGCTCCGAGCCGCAGCTCCGCCCCGAGTTCGCAGCGGCTCCCAGGTGGGGAGCAATCACTGTCACCCCGGATCCCCTCCGTTCCTCTTCTCGGCTGCCGTCCCTCCCGTCGGCGTTCGTTCCCCCAAACCACATCCTGGAGGCGCTCTTCTGCCTGGCCCTCAGCCCGGCGGGCGCACCGGGCGTCGGGGCCTGAGAGCCGCGCGCTGCCTCCCGATCCCCGCGGCTCCCCCCTCGGCGGCGCTGATTGGCCGCTCCCGGGCCTTCCCCTGCGCGGGCTCCACTGCCCAGCGGAAAGTTTTCTGTGTCCGGGGGAAGTTGGACCTTTGGAGCCTGGGAGACAGCAGCTCCCGAGGCTGCGGGGCTCTGCGCGGCCATGGAGATGGAGGAGCCCCCTTTGCGAGAGGAGGAGGAGGAGGAAGAGGAGGAGGAGGACGAGGCTGGCCCCGAGGGGGCTCTGCGCAAGAGCCCCTTCCAGCTGACCGCCGAGGACGTGTATGACATCTCCTACGTGGTGGGCCGCGAGCTGATGGCGCTGGGCAGCGACCCCCGGGTGACACAGCTGCAGTTCAAAATCGTCCGCGTGCTGGAGATGCTGGAGACGCTGGTGAGCGAGGGCAGCCTGGCGGCGGAGGAGCTGAGGATGGAGCGGGACAGCCTCCGGAAGGAGGTGGAGGGGCTGCGGAGAGAGGGCGCGGCGGCCAGCCCCGAGGTGAGTGCCGGAGGCAGGGGCGCGTGGGGCAGGGCCCGCTGGCACGGAGGCCCCTTCCCCCCCCACACCCCTCTTTTAAAATATACTTTTAAAATTGATTTTAGAGAGGAAGGGAGAGGGAGAGAGAGAAACATCAATGATGAGAGCGAATCATTGATTGTCTGCCTCCTGCACGCCCCACACAACCCGGGCTTCTGCCCTGACCAGGAATAGTGATCCCCTGGGTCATAGGTCGACGCTCAACCACTGAGCCACACCGGCGGGGCCTCTTTCCTCTCTTGAATATCCAAGCCTCTCCAAGCAGAGCACTGAGTATCCAGCCCACAGATTGGAAACGCTGCGATTGTAAACATTTGTGGAGCAGTTACTAGGTGCTGGGCCCTGTCCTGCGTCAGTCAGTGGCCGCTAGCATTTTTGACCGTGACCTAGAGCAGTGGTTCTCACGCTCTAGCGGGCATCACCATCCCCTGGGTGTTCTTTAAAACACGGACTGCAGGGCCCCAGCCCCAGAGTTTCTGATTCAATAGGTCAGGCCTGGGACCTGAGGAGCTTCCAGATAATGCAGATGCTATTGGTCCAGACATCACACTTTGAGTGTCTTTGACCCCGATTAAGAAGTAAAGTTTGACTAAAGAGAAATTAGTGTTTTTGACCACAAAAAAGACCCGTGTGAGAATATTCAGTAGCTTTATTCGTACTCGTGCCAAACTGGAAAGAATCCAGACGCGCCAGAGGAGTGGGTGGGTTTTTGAAGGGTGGTACGTCCCTGCGGTGGAATGCTCCGCAGCCCCGAAAAAGAACAGGGTGCTGATACACACAACTGTGTGGCTGACCCTCACGGGTGTTGCATTGTAAGACAGGAGCCAGGCACAAAAGACAGCCTACCATATGTGAGATTCAGGAACAGGAAGAATAGCCCTGACCGGTTTGGCTCAGTGGATAGAGCATCGGCCTGAGGACTCAAAGGTCCCAGGTTCTATTCCGGTCAAGGGCATGTACCTTGGTTGCAGGCACATCCCCAGTAGGAGGTGTGCGGAGGCAGCTGAATTGATGGTTCTCTCTCATCGATGTTTCTAACTCTCTATCCCTCTCCCTTCCTCTCTGTAAAAAAATCAATAACATATATTTTAAAAAAAAGGAACAGGAAGAATAATCTTTATTTATAGAAGACAGATTGGTGCTAACCTAACGCCAGGGAGGGGACAGCGAGAGGGAGCAGGAAGGAAATGCACCGTGGTTATGTGGGTATATACATATGGCAAAGATCGTCAAGCCATAAACTCAGGAGTAGGATGTTTTACTGTATGTATGTTATACCTCCATTTTACAGGATTACATTTCAAGAAGCAACATGATGCACGGTCATATTTCCTACTTTATGAGTTTTTACATTCTTGTTGCAACTCACTAAATTAATATCATACTCAGGACAGGGTCTTCAGCCACAGTTTTAAAAATAAGATCTGCCCTAACTCTCTCGGTTAGTCTTTATACTATATTATACCCATTTTGCAGAAATGGAGGCATAGAACAGGCAAATAATTTATTAAGGACTTCGAGCAAGTAGGAGGTAGAGGCAGGCTTTGAGCTCAGAGAGGCTGGTTTTAACCACACCATACTAAAACGGGCCTTGGAGCTTACGCTGTATCAGCATTTGTTGAGTGACTGCACTGTGTGGGCTCTGGGGCCATGGAAGTAAATCAGACGAGGGCCCTGTGTTCTGGCGACTCACAGCTGGTGGGAGGGGTAAGACGCACATTCCTCCAGAACTCGGATCCAAGATTACAGACTGAGGAGTGAGCCCTGGCAGCCCAACGGCCAGGGTCGCTGAAATTCCCAGGGAAGAGTGAAGGTTTCTGGTAGCTCCCCTGCTACACTTGAATTTCACCTACTCCTTAGTCACGGGGGCAATGATATTTGCAGATAAGGCTCTAATATATATATATTAGGGAGAGTAGAAGAGAGATAAAAAGACAGAGAGAAACATCGATGTGAGAGATGCACATCGATTGGTTGCTTCCTGCACGAGCTCCAAACAGGGCCTGGGTGGGGAGGAGCCTGCAACCAAGGTACATGCCCTTGGCTGGAATCGAACCCAGGACCCTTTGGTCTGCAGGCCGATGCTCTATCCACTGAGCCAAACTGGCTAGGGCAGTGGTCAGCAAACCGCGGCTCATGAGCCACATGCGGCTCTTTGGCCCCTTGAGTGTGGCTCTTCCACAAAATACCACGTGTGAGCGCGCACATACAGTGCATTTGAAACTTCATGGCCCATGCGCAGTAGTCGGTATTTTGTGGAAGAGCCACACTCAAGGGGCCAAAGAGTTGCATGTGGCTTGTGAGCCACAGTTTGCCAACCACTGGGCTAGGGCAAGGCTCTACTTTTGTATTATCATAGGAGGTGGTTGAATGTCATGATGAGCAGCCTGGCTTTTGAGACTCGAGAGCAGTTCAGTGACTCACCCAGCATCACAGCTCATGCCCTGTGCCCTTCTCCCGTCACCTTCAACTCCAGGCACAAGGACACGGAGGAGGCCCCACCAGGGGCCATGAACAGCGTGACTTCCCATAGGGGGCACAGCGGACAGGCTTCATCAGCCAGCAGATGAGATGGCACATTTTCCTCCCAAACCACAGACTTCAGAACGGGGTGTGGGGAAAAGGCAGAGAGAATGAATGTTTAGTTCCATTAGACAGTTCATACAAATAGGCCTTATTTTTTCATTTATTTTTCTAAATTATTATGTTAATTGTGATCATGTACACATAAAATTCACCGCTTTAACCCTTTTAAAAATCAGTAGCATTAAGTGCATTCACATGGTTATGCAACCATCACCACCTTCCTCTCCAGATCTCTTCATCTTGCAAAACTGAAACTCTGTGCTCGTGAAACAACAACTCCCCATTTCTCCCTCCCCCCAGCTTTTGGTAACTACTGTTCTACTTTCTACATCTATGAATTTGCCTATTTTAGGTACTTCCTGTAAGTAGACTCATATAATCTTTGTCCTTTTGTGACTGGCTTCTTTCACTTAGCATAATGTCTTTAAGGTTTATCCATGTGTCACAATTTTCTTCCTGTTTTTTAAATCCTCACCGGATGACATGCTGAGAGAGAGAGAGAGAAACATGGGTGTGAGATTGGTTGCCTCCCATCTGCGCCCTGACCTGGGCCAGGGTGCAAGCCTGCAACCAAGGGACATGCCTTTGACCAGAATCAAACCCGGGACCCTTCAGTCCATGGGCCGACGCTCTATCCACTGAGCCAAAGGAGCCCTGGCACTTTTCTTGGAGAATGGTGCCTTCGCTTCTTTACCACCAGCCAAACACTCCCAACAGGCAGCACCTCCTCTCCTTAGGGCTCCGGGAGTCACCAAACCAGAGAACGTTGCTTTCTGGGGTGGACAGCTCATCCCCTTGAGGGAAACTGCATCAGTGACATCTTTTCTTCCAGGGAAGCCTGGGACCAGGCAAGATGGTGGTTGACCTGAGCGACCCCAACCGGCCGCGCTTCACTCTGCAGGAGCTGAGGGACGTGCTGCAGGAGCGCAACAAGCTCAAGGCGCAGCTGCTGCTGGCGCAGGAGGAGCTGCAGTGCTACAAGAGGTGGGCTCTGCCGCCTGCCAGGGCGCCCTCAAACGTCCCGTATTGGCTCCCATGTCCATTCAGCCAACTTATCCGAGCCCCATGATGCCCGGCGGTGGGGGTGTAGCCGTGACCCAAACGGAGCAAGTGCATGCTCATCTAGGGAGACAGGTAGGCAGCAAGGAGGCCTGAGGTAAGCACTCAGGGTCATGGTCTCAGTGCTCTAGAGAAGGTAAAAGCAGGGGGCGTGGCCCAGACCCAAGTGCTGAGGGAGTTGGGGGGAGGGACTTGTTTTTATTTATTTGTTTGTTTATGTGTTTATTTTAAAAAAAAATTTTTATTGATTTGAGAGGAAGGAAGAGGGAGAGAGATAGAAACATTAATGATGAGAGAGAATCATTGACTGGCTGCCTCCTGCATGTCCCACACTGGGGATCAAGGCCACAACCCAGGCATGTGCCCTGACCTGGAAGAGAACCGTGGCCTCCTGGTTCATAGGTTAATACTCAACCACAGCCACACAGGCGGGGCAGGGAGGAACTTGTTTCAAACTGAGTCGTTAGGGACAATCCCTCTCAGGTGAAGGACAGAAAGCAGACAACCATGTATAGATTCGGTAGGACCAGAACGGAGCGAGAAGTTCAGAGAAGTTCAAAGACCAGAGGTGGGAACCAGCGTGGCCAGCTAAAGAGACCCAGCAGGGGGGAACCTGAAACGCAGGGGAAGTTGGTCTGGAAGAGACTGGGGAGTGGTGCCTTGTCCACCACAGGCAAGAGCTCTGACTTTATTGTAAGCAGGGAAGGTTTAACTGGGGGAATGACAAGATCCATTTAAAGGATCAATGAGGTGATTTTGATAACTGAACTATTTGGTTATGAGAGGATATCATTGCCCTTTGGAAGTATACACGGAATTATTTTTTTTCTTTTAAACATATTTTATTGATTTTTTACTGAGAGGAAGGGAGAGGGATAGAGAATTTAGAAACATCGATGAGAGAGAAACATCCATCAGTTGCCTCCTGCACACCCCCTACTGGGGATGTGCCCGCAACCAAGGCACATGCCCTCGACTGGAATCAAACCTGGGACCCTTCAGTCCACAGGCCGACACTCTATCCACTGAACCAAACTGGTCAGGACTACACTGAATTCTTTAGGAATAAAGAAGTAAGATGTCTCCAACTTACTCTCAAGTGGTTCAGAAAGAAAGTAGATGCATGAAGGGTGGGGTAGGTAGGTGGATCGGTGGGTGGTTGGATGGAAAGATAAGATAAAATAAGATTTAAAAAGGTAAGATGGGATAAACAAATAATTGGGGGATCTGGGGTAAAGTATTTGGGAAGTCTTTTTTACTAATCTTACAACTTTTCTCTAAGTTTTAAATTATCTAAAAATCCAAAGTTATAAAAGATCACAATAATATGTGAACAGAGGGACTATAGGACAGTGATGGCAAACCTATGACCCACGTGTCAGAGGTGACATGCGAACTCATTTTTTTGGGTGATTTTTCTTTGTTAAATGGCATTTAAATATATAAAATAAACCTCAAAAATATAAGTCTTTGTTTTACTATGGTTGCAAATATCAAAAAATTTCTATATGTGACACGGCACCAGAGATAAGTTAGGGTTTTTCAAAATGCTGACACGCCGAGCTCAAAGGGTTCGCCATCACTGCCCTAGAGTATGAGGTGTCTGTTGTGTGGGCATCAAGGATGAGGACCAGCTGGAGATCAGGGTTGGACTTTGCTATAGCCACCTGAGCCTCTGCCCCCCAAAATGTTGTCTTTCGTGTTGGTGTTTCTTGAAGAGGGGGGCGGGGGCTGTGTGGTTGCATGGCTCTGGGAAACACTGAGTTACACAGGTGGGTTTCTTTAGAGGCAGAAGAGGGTAAGAGCAAGCGAATAAAAACGCAGAACCAGCTCATGGTTAGCAGTGCTTGCCACGGGTCAGCCCCCGGCTGAGTGTGTCCCAGGCATCATTTCATTCAGTGCTCACTGCAGGCCTGTGCGGTCAGGTACCTGCTGGAAGTCCACGGCTGCTGGTGGCAACAGTGAGGCGTGTCCTCAGGCAGCCCGAGCGCACAGCCTGCACTCTTCATGTCAGGCCACCTTTGGACCCTGCACGTTTGGAAGGCAGGGCGGATCCTGATTCCAGACAAAGCCCCGAGTGATGTTATTCTTTCCGTTCTTTCCTCGAGCATCATGAAGACAGGAGTGGCAAAGCAGAAACGCTCTAGGAAGCCAAATCCAAAAGGGCTGAGTTCTGCCAACAGACGTTTCATTGTCTGCCTTGCGCCGAGGTTGGAACCATGTTCGTGGAAAGACCTGTCTTTGTCTCATTTGATAAGTATTTCAGACACAGGTAGTTAAAGCCAGGAGCCGCCAGACTGGCAGCTTGTGAGGGAATTAAGCAACACCCTTTGTTTCCAGTGCTGAGTTCCCAGCAAACAGCAGATGTGCCCTTCCCATCTGGTGCAGGCCGAGACAGCAGGGTTGGCTTGGTCTCTTGCGCCCTCTGTCCTGGAGAAACGAGCCTGTCCACTGAGCTGTTCTCTTAGCAGTGGCATCTGGAGGCCTAAGCTCATACCAACAATCATTATATTTAAAAAAAAATATTTTTATTGATTTCAGAGAGGAAGGGAGAGGGAGACAGAGATAGAAACATCAATGATGAGAGAGAATCATTAATCAGCTGTGTCCTGCACGCCCCCAATGGGGATGGAGCTCACAACCAGAGCATGTGCCCTGCCCGGGAATCAAACCCTGACCTCCGAGTCCATAGGGTGACGCTCAACCACTGAGCCACGCTGGCCAGGCCTATAGATCATTTTAGATTGAAGGCAGCTATGGTGGGCTATTTCCATAGGCGGCCACAACTGTTGTCCCCATCCCGCATGCTTTTTGCAAGGAGACTTTTCCTCTTGCCTCCCCTTGAATCAGGGCGGCCCTGTGACTTGCTCTGGTCAATGGAACGTGCCATCTGGCTTAAGGATCTAAGAGACCTCCAGACTTCCATGTTTTATGCTCTTGGAATCCTGCCTTGAGACCACCATGCTGTGAAGAAGTGAAGGCAGTCACAGGGAGAGGTCACATGACGGACTACCAAGGTGCCCCAGCCGACAGCCCCAGCTGTGCCCGGCCCCTAGCTCATCCACCAATTCATGCAGCTGCTTGAGAGCCACCAGGCCAACCCTAAGCAGGACAGCCATCCCAAGACTCAGAAGCCACCCTGTTGTAAATCTAAGTTTCAGGGCGTCAAATAACAATAGATAGTGGAAAGGGCAATTTTTAGATGATGCCTCTTATGAAATACTAATATTATAATAAAAATATATTATTGTAGTAGCTAATAAGAGTCCACTCTTTGCAACGGAGAGAGAAGGGTGGGTCCTGCTTTCCGAAGTTCATATGTAAAGGGGCGTCTCATCAGCTCAGGTGCCGTAACAAAATATCCTAGACTGGGGGCTTCAGCAATAGAAGTGTCTTCTCCCGGTTCCGGAGGCTACGAGTCCCAGATCCAGGTGCCAGTATGGCTGGTGCTGACATTTCCTGACTCCTAGGCAGCTTCCTTCCGGCTGATTCCTCACAGGGCGAGAGAGAGAGAGAGAGAGAGAGGTGACATTTCCTGACTCCTAGGCAACTTCCTTCCGGCTGAGTCCTCCTCACAGGGAGAGAGAGAGAGAGAGAGAGAGAGAGAGAGAGAGAGAGCAGCCCTCTGGTGTCTCTCTCACAATTGATTTTCCACGTAGCTGGGAAGGATCCTGGAGTTGCTCTCAGAAATAAAGAAAAAACTGCAACAAAGGCCTCGGGGTGGGCACCGGGGACTCGGTGCCTCGTTCTCTCCTCTTTGCTTCTCTTTGTTGGTCCTCACTATCGTGCATATGGACAGCCCTTCTCTGAATCCTAGGGAGCATGACTGCTGGCAGAACAGCCTTCTTCCAGCTTCTGCCCATCAAGTCCCTCCTGGGATCACCTGACCCCCATATCTTCTCAGTCACTATCAATCTAGCTCTGTACCATCGTCCGACTTACTATATATATTTTTATTTTACTTATTTTTTTACTGACCATTCCCTTCCCCACTGGAATGTAACTTGCATGAGGGAAGATATTTTCTGTTTTGGTCATTGCTGTTCATTGCACCATGGCACGGTACGTCGCTGAATAAATATTTGTCAAATGAGTGCCATGTATTATTGTCTCACTTAACCCCTTAATCCTAGGAGGTAGGCACTTCTGTTATCCTCATTTTACCATTTAGGAAATCAAGACCTAAGTTAAAGAATTTACACAGGGTCATACTCCTACAAAGTGGAGAAGCTTGAACTGGTAGCCAACGTAATCAGACAAGAGAAGGAAAGGAGAGGTTTCAGCATTGGAAACGTGGAGAGAAGAGTTTCTGACTCCGGAGCTTTCCGTGCTGAAATTATTAATGTAATAATAATGATTGAGATTCTTCACTTTCAGCCCTAACCGGTTTGGCTCAGTGGATAGAGCGTCGGCCTGCGGACTGAAAGGTCCCAGGTTCGATTCCGGTCAAGGGCATGTACCTGGGTTGCGGGCACATCCCCAGTAGGGAGTGTGCAGGAGGCGGCTGATTGATGTTTCTCTCTATCCCTCTCCCTTCCTCTCTGTGAAAGATCAATAAAATATATTTTAAAAAAAAAGATTCTTCACTTTCAGGACCGCACAAATAAGAGGCCTGCAGTAAAACACCCCATTTGTCTGCCCCCCTTTCTCCAGTGGCCTGATTCCAGCAAGAGAAGGCCCGGAAGGGAGAAGAGGAAAGGACTCTCTGGCTGCCAGGGCCAGCAACGCCAGCAGAGACAAGGAGGAGAAGACCATCATAAGGAAGCTGTGAGTCACCCTGCGGCCCGCTGCCGCCACTGAATGAGGGGCGGACGGAGTGGGGCGAAGGGGCGAAGGGAGGCTGGCCGGCTGCCCCGGGTGGGGAGGTGCTAGTCTCCCGGTGGTAGTGCTGTAGCCAATAAGAAAACTCCATTCCAGCCCTGGCCAGTGTTCTCAGTGGTTAGAGTGTCCGCCTGAGGACCAAAGGATCTCAGGTTCGATTCCTGGTCAAGGGCAGGTGCCTGGGTGCATCCCTGACACTCCTCGGAGTGCGTGTGGGAGGCAACCAATTGATGCTTCTCTCTCTCTCTCACCTTCCTCTCTCTAAAATCAACAAATGAAATTTAAAAATACATATGAGCCCTTGAAATCTGATGGACATTTTACACTTGCAGCACATTTCAGTAAGACCAGCCCTGCGTCAAGGGCTCTTGGGACGTGTAGCTGGTGGCCACCATAGCGGGTATCAGGGCTTTAGCCAGTACCCAGAAAGATCCTTTGTCTGTGACGAAGAGCTGAGTTCACATGATTTAATTTTTTTTCAATCATGATAAAATATACATAACATAAAATTTATGATTTTAACTGTTTGTAAGTGTACACTTTAGTCATAGTAAGTACATTTACATTGTTGTGCAGCCATCACCATGATCCATTCCCAGGATTTTTTCATCATCCCATCCTGAAATTCTGGGCTCATTAAGCACTAACTTCTCAATTCATCCTTCTTCCAGCCCCTGGCAACCACCATTCTACTTTATTTTTCTTTTTAAAAATGTTTTTATTGATTTTGAGAGAGAGAGAGGACGGGAGAGGAATAGAGAAATCGAAACATTTGAGAGAGCGAGAGGAACATCATTGATCGGCTGCCTCCCGCACAGCCTCTACTGGGGCTCGAGGCTCCAACTGGGCATGTGCCCTGACTGTGAATTAACCGGCTACCTCTTGGTTCCTGGGTCAACCTCAACCACTGAGCCACACTGGCCGGCCATTCTACTTTCTGACGCTATGAATTTAACTAGCCTAGGCACCTCATCTAAGTGGAATCACACAGTATTTGCATTTTTGTCTTTGTTCGGTGGATAGAGCCGATGGGGAGCCATGGGAGGGCTGAAGCTGGGGAAAGACAGCTCTACATAGTGACAGGGACCTTTGGTTGCTACGCGTGGATTGTAGGGGGGCGACGGGAGGCTGTTGAAGTCTGGACTGGGGGTGGCGAGGGGGAAGATGAACGTGGTGGGATTAGGGATATATTTGGGGCATGATGACTGATGACTAAGATGTAGCAGATGGGGGTGGGGGGTGGGGGACTTGAGAACAACTCCCAGGTTCCTGGCTCGAATGACTGGGCAGGATTGATGTCACTTCCTGAGAGAGGGCACTGGGGTGGAGGAGGGGCGGGTGGCAGAGCACTAGGGCCTGGATCCAAACCAGCTCAGGGCTCGCACCAGCCATTGCTGGCCGGGCTGCCAGCAGCACTCAGGGAGTTCTTCTTTGATGAGAAGCAAGAGCCTAGATCCCATCCTGACTTCTCAGCCTCCCACCCCGCTGCAACCCCAGCCCCGGCGATCTTCGCTTCGTTCTCATAACTGGAACTAGCGCTGAGCTTGTGCGTTCCGACCAACCCCAGACATCATTGCTCCTTTCCCAAACTTTGCAGGAAAACACTGAAAGCTTGGTATTCAGATAGCTTTGTATGATTTATGTCTTATCTAAGAATTCACATGCTAATCTCTATTTATTTTTTTTGCCAAGATGTTTTACAGTTGTAGGTAGCATTGAGAAGCTATTGCTTCCTCTGCAATGAAACCATCTAAAATTTAAAAAAAAATAAAAGGGCCGAAACCGGTTTGGCTCAGTGGATAGAGGGTCGGCCTGCGGACTGAAAGGTCCCAGGTTCGATTCCGGTCAGGGGCATGTACCTGGGTTGCGGGCACATCCCCGGTAGGAGATGTGCAGGAGGCAGCTGATCGATGTTTCTCTCTCATCGATGTTTCTAACTCTCTATCTCTCTCCCTTCCTCTCTGTAAAAAATCAATAAAATATATTAAAAAAAAAAAACAAAGAATAACCTTCATCATGTAATACTGGTTTTTTTTTTAAAAAAAAAAAAAGGTGGCAGAGTCCATCTGTTAGTATAACGCAGTGGTTAGTGGGCCCTGGGCTCGCAACTTTCTGTGTGACCTCGGGCCTGTGACTTGACCTCATAGAGCCTCGGTTTGCTCATCTATAAAATGGGGATGACCTAGCCGGTTTGGCTCAGTGGATAGAGCGTTGGCCTGCAGACTGAAGGGTTGCGGGTTCGATTCCAGTCAAGGGCATATGCCCAGGTTGCGGACTCGATCCCTAATAGGGAACGTGCAGAGCGGCCCATCAGTGATTCTCATCATTGATGTTTCTATTTTTGTTGTCTCCCTCTCCCTTCTTCTCTGAAATCGATAAAAAGATATTTTAAAATAAATAAATAACATAACATGGGGATATTGGTTGTGCTCACCTCCCCAAATTGTTATGCGTGTGAGATGAGCTTTTGGATGAAAAGCCCCCAGTCGGAGCCAGTTCATCATGAGCCCTGAGTGCAGGTTTGATTCAGAGGCCTGCTTCCTGACCCCTCTCTCTCCACCCAGGTTCTCCTTCCGATCTGGGAAGCAGACATAGATCCGAGGCGGCCATTCTCAGATCCTAGAAGACAACCCACCAGGAAGACTTCCCAGTCTGCTCAGTGCCACGCGGACCCACTGCACTCGCTCATGTGTTTCCCCTCAGCGCCGTCTGAGGAGCGAGGAGGTGAGGTTCTCTCTCCATCACCGTCTCCCCGGCTGCAGAACTGGGCACCCCCGGAGGCTTGGCCAGGGCAGGGCAAGTGGCACCCAGAAATCAAGAAAGCAGAAGGAAAAGAAAAAAAAAAAGCAGAAGGAAAAGAAAAAACAACAGAAAATAAAAAAAACGAAAGCAGAAGCAAAGTGCACGGGGGCCACCACCTGCCCACGTCAGCCGTCGAGGGATCTCAGCGCTCTGCCTCTCCGGCCCCACACTTGACCTTGCTCTTCACTGTGTGGCAGCCCTAGCAGCCAGGCACCAGCCCAGAGGGAGAGGGGAGAAAGCCGGAAAGCGTGGTATCGACCTTCCGGGGACTTCACTGATATTTAGTGACTATCTGACTTTGCTAACAGGACTTTTCGTTACCAGGAGATTTTTGTATTAAATGACTTCCCTTCTTTAAGTATTTAGAGTTGTCTCTCAGCTTGTGTGACCTTTCAGGTCTCGGTTTCCACGTCTGTAAACTACGTGTGTATGGATAGCTGGTGTGTCTTTGGTGCATTGAGTCTAAGTGATGTACCGTTATTTTGTGTGTCAGTGTGAGAGAAAAAATGTTACAAATTATAACATGAAGACACGGTTGACTTTAAGGCTCATTCTGATTTCAGAGAGGTTAAATGTGAAAAAGATGTACATTTAAGAATTGACGAAATCCAGTATATAGACAGTGGGTGCCTGCACTTTGCGAAGAAGCTGACGAGCCCGCGGAGCCTGTGTCCTTAGTAAAGGCCGCTGGCGCTCTGCTGCAGGGACCTTCATTCTGTAACAAGTCGGGGACACGGGGGCTGGGAATATACTAATAGCAAGACTGAAATGGGCCACATCAACTGAGCCTCCGAAAGGCTAAAGTAGGCCACAGGTCATGTAGCTAGGAGGCGGCTGCCCAGGATGTAAATTCCTAAGGCCTGTGCAAGCCCAGTTCTCCAAAGTCACTAACATTCATCATGAGTGCAATTCATGGCAGGCCTTGGCTATGCCGTTTGAGTACCCCTGCGGGCTGGGTAGTTATTCCCATGGTACCCCTGGGTCCCAGCACTGCGGGCTAAGGGATTTGTTCAAGATCCCAGCCCTAACGTGGTGGAAAAGGGGCTTGAGCCCAGGTGCAGACTTCCTAGCCCAGGCCTCAACCCCTTGGCTTCCTGAGAAAAGTCAGCAACGTTTCAGAGTCTGGTGGAGAATGCCATCTCAGCACTCTCAGGTCAGGGCCCCAACTCCGTATGACACTGCCACCCTGACGGGGTGCTCCCCTCTTAGTGGTCGGGGGGATCCCTGCACCTTGGGGTGAGGGCCAATTTGGGAAACAGATCTGAGTCCTGACTTCAGAACCACCTGGGCCAGACCAAGAGACAGCGAGGGCAGAGGAGAGGGGGGAGGGGCGGCTCCTGGGACCGAGTGTGGAGTCCAGCCGAGGTCCATCCTCCACAAGCCTGACATCCCCAAGCCGAGGCTGTAACAATCCATGGCGTGGACCCCAGGACACCCTGCAGAGCAGGCAGGTAGAGGCGGTTCCCACTCAGACAAGCTTCCGAGAGAGTGCGGGATCTGTCCAAGGGGACCGGCTGACCACCTCTCCAAGGCGGTGCTGGAAGCGGAGTTCTGCTTGTAAACCAAGGACACTACCCAAAGGATAGTCCCACTCCGCTACTCGAACCTACGACCCATCGAGGGCTGGCAGGAGGGACGTGCAGCACGAGGCAGGCGCGGCTGGTCCCCGACATCAAACCCAGGATCTCAGAAACGAGTGACAGTCACAGGCTCAAGTCTGTGCTCACGGTGTGCCAGGCGCCGTAACTGTAAGGGCCCAACATGCACAAACTTATCTTCAGGCTCCGTGACCCCTTCTACAAATGAAGCGACCATCCTGTAGGGGGACCAGCACTGAGGGGGGGTGTGACCCTCCTACAAAACCCCGGAAACCCACCCCTCCGCTCCCACCTCCACTCGTAAGAAACAGACACACAGGTGGCCTCGCCTGGCAATAAATATTTTAATTTTTGTTTCATTTTTATGATGACAAATAATTTTCAAGTTTATTTCCTTTTGTTTTTTAAATACAAAGCTAAACCACAAACAGGTACAACCGAGACATTTTACTTCACATTGACACGCTCCGTCGGATCCTCCTCCAATTGGCTGACCACTGACCAGGCAAGTGTGGGGCGGGGGGGAAGACTTTCCTAGGTAGCACCGTCGTGAGGCTGGGGTGCGCGGGGTGGGGGCTGGGGGGCACCAAGGTTGAGGACAGGCTCTCACACCTGTCTCCATTCACATTTACCTGGGACCAGGGGGTCCGGAGACCCCAGGTGGTGGTTCCAGAGCCAGGCCCCCTGGACCGCAGGTGGAGAGAGTGAGAATCAGTCCCCCTTTGGGAGGGAGGGGGCAGCTACCTACACCTCCTGCCGTCGTCACAATCATCACAGTCAAGGTGAAAACTGTACCCTCGGCCTTGATCCCTGGGTGCTGCACCTGCTCCCTCCCCTTGGGGGGGGGCCTGCACTCCAGGGCTCACGGGCTCACCCTTGGCTCACGGCTGCGCGGTCTGCCGTGTCGCAGGAAGAACACCAGGTGGTCTGACAAACAGCATGACAGCAGGTCTGGACCTTTCAACCCAGCAGAATATCGGGTCAGGGTGGGGGTGAGGGCGGCTATTTGGTGGGGGGAGGATTGGATAAGTAATTTCTGGTCCCACTACAAAACTTTATTTTTTATTAGAATAGAGTACCATCTCAAATCTCTTCTATAAAAAAACAAACAAAAAAACCAAACCCAAAGGAAAAGGAAAAAAAGAAAAAAAGAAAAAAACGCAGCCACTCCACTCACTTTATGACCTATGTACATGTAAGTTGTTTTCTGTGGTTTTTCTCTCTTTCTTTTTTTTGCCTTTTATGTTTTTTTGATTTTTATTATTTTTTTAAAATAAATTCAGTGTTCACATTTCTATAAAGAATTACCCCAGTTTCGGGAGGCGCTGCCCTGGTGGGCCGGCTGAGCAATGCTTTTCCCTGCCCGCGTCTGCTGACTCCCCGCCCTGACGCTGCGAGGCGCCCGGACACGCGGCCGCCCGTGGAAGAGTAAACCTCGGCCCGGCCCCTGCCCACGGGGGCCACCGGGTCAGCAAGCTTTCAAGAAAGCAGAGGGGAAGACGAACTTACTGCGAAACCCTTTAAAAAAGATTCATACACTTCCGTGTGCGCCTGTCCAGACGGCAGGAAAACAAGAGCTTGGGAACGTCCCGTGGGGGCCGTCGGGAGGCAGCAGGCGTCTTCCTGGCCGCCCCGTGCTGCTCGGAC